TTCTTATACTTTCTCTCTCCCCCCCCGCCACATACACACACACTCAGGAGGCTAAGATCTGAGGATCATGGTTCAAAGCCAGCCCCGGGCAGGAAAGTCCATGAAACTCATCTCCAGTAAACCACCAGAAAACTGGACGTGGCTCTTGGCTCAAGTGGTAGAGCACTAGCCTTGAGCTGAAGAGCTGAGGCACAGTGCCCAGGCCCAGAGTTCAAACCCCACAACCAACAACAACAAAAAAAATTCAAGCCCCTTCCTTGTATGAAGTCCTACTGCATTTACAAAGAACTTGGTTCTCTGCAAGTAAGCGATCTCCAACAACTTACAGTGCCCAATACAGTGTAAAACCTGGTCACCCAGAATAACAAGATACAATGGGGCGGGGGGGGGGATGTTGCATGCATATGCACTAGTTCTGGGGCTTGAAATCAGAGTCTGTTTCTGAGGTTCATTCTTTGTTCAAGGCTCACATACCACATGAGCCACACAGCTCCACTTCAGACTCTTGGGGCTGGTTAATTGGATGAGGGTCTCACTGACTTTCCAACCCAGGCTGGCTTTGAACCATGATCCTCAGATCTCAGCCTCCTGAGTAGCCAGGATGACAAGCATAAACCACCAATGCCCGTTGATACAATGTTTTTCAAAAGGTTCTTCAGGTCCCAGTCAGATGGTTCCATGTGTTCATGCTCACTGCTATTCCCCTTTCTATCTCTCCTGATGCTCAGCCACCACCCCTGCCCTGGAGAGCTCTGCTTCTCCTCTCCATACTTCCCTGACCGTCAAGCTGAACTTGGGATGCAGTGTCCAGGCCCAGCTCCTGGAAGCTACTTCCCTTTTGGGCCTGCGGGTGGGTGGTGGGTGATGTGTGACCAGCCAGAGACAGCTGAGTTTTGGTTTCACTGAGTGCTTTCAGGTTCTCTCTTGATTATCATAAAGAATGGTAGCTTTCCATCTGTGATGGGGACAGCATTGCCTGAAAGTAATCATAGTTAAATAAAAGGACTGGGAATGGGGCTTAGTGGTAGAGTGCTTGCCTCGCATGCATGAAGCCCTGGGTTTGATTCCTCAGTACCACATACACAGAAAAAGCTGGAAGTGGCGCTGTGGCTCAAGTGGTAGAGTGCTAGCTTTGAGCAAAAGAGGCTCAGGGATAGTGCTCAGGCCCTGAGTTCAAACCCAAGAACAGGAAAAAAAAAGTTAACTAAATAAAAGGGACGTACATGAGGGGGAAGGGGGAAAACGGTGCTGGAAAGGCTCAAGTTGCAGGCACCACGTCCAGGGGAAATGCTAGTGTGTCCTGGGAGCCAGCTGTCCCCAGACACCAGGGCCATCCAGCCTGCTCCCCCACTTTCCCCCCAAGCTCGGGTCCTCCCCAGAGGGCTTTGTGCTTCTTCCGCCCACTCAGGCCCCTCCTCCTGAGGAGTACAACACCCTTGGCCTTATGCATCATCTTGGGGTCAGGTGGGGGGGGTGGACATCAGGGCACCTGGCTTCTGTGGAACTGATTTCATTCTCAGCGATCCAGGGCACTGGACACAGGCTCAGCCAATCAGAGCACACCTTTCCCAGACTGCCTACTGATTGGCTCAGGAATAGTCAGGTACTTACAACTGACCCATAAGAGCTTTTCCTTGTACCACGGTGGAGTCTTGAGAAGCAGCTTGAGATTCATTCAGTCAAAGCCAAAATAGAAGCCAGCAGACCTCGAAGGATGGAGCCTTCGGAAGAAACCATGTGACCCCTTGACTCATCCAAGCCTGAGACTCCCTGTTTAAAACAATAAAGTAATTAATTCTTTTTTGTTGTTGTTTTGCTTTTTGCCAGGCCTGGGGCTTGAACTCAGGATCTGGGTGTTGTCCCTGAACTTTTTTGCTCCAGGCTAATGCTCTACCACTTGGGCTGTGGTTCCACCTCTCAGTTGTTTTTGTTTGTTTGTTTTGTTGTGGGGTTTTTTTTTTGTCGGTTGTGGGATTTGAACTCTGGGCCTGGGTGCTGTTCCTGAGCTTTTCAGCTTAAGGCTAGCACTCTACCGCTTGGAGCCCCAGCACCACTTTTGGTTTTCTGATGGTTCATTGGAGATAAAGGTCTCACAGACTTTCCTGCCCAGCTGGCTTTGAACTGTGATCCTCAGATCTCAGCCTCCTGAGTAGCTAGGATGACAGGCGTGAGCCACTGGCACCCTGCTAGTGTTGTTATTTTAACAATGGACTATTTCAGAGTGACAGGAAATCACTGCGAGTGTATATCTGCTTAACTAGACTTGCTGAAGTTGGGGGTGAGGTTTCTCCTTTCTTCTGGTCCCCCAGCATCTGGTCCAAACAAAACGTTCAACAAGGGCTCCCTCTAGCCTCTTGTAGCCTCTTGTCTCTGGGCCCAACCAAGACCCTGACGTGTTTGTGGACTGACTGCAACTTGCCCACG